AGGACCGACGTGGTTGGGCTGCTGCTTTCTGCCTGAAGCAGGAACCTGCAGCCTGAAGCTATGATGACCATCCTGCAATCATGAGGTGACCAGACAAGCAGCTTGGGGCTAAGTGGACAAGAGGAACTGGGTCTGTGATGTCCTCGGAACCCTGGACCAACTCTGCGTGGTGACTGCCTACCTCAAAACTTCCAGAGGTGAGAAAAATGCACGCCCATTCTCTTTAAACCACTGTCAAGTCAGGATTTCTGTTCCTCACAGCAGAAAGCATTGCAAACAGGTCCTAAAGGAAGACAAGCTCCCTTCCATCACTCATTCTGAGAATGCTTTTCCCAGGTGGTCATAGCCAGGTTCATGGGACCAGCAGGACACAGGCAGAGTCCAGGAGGCATCACTTCCTTCCCTATTCCTCCCACCCCGATCCCCACGTTATCTGTGCTTCAAAGTCCAGCCCTGTCTCCCTCCTGCCCAGAGGCCTTTCCAGCCACAGAGGACCACTGTGCACCAGTCCTTGCAAGCCTCCTCCTTGCCCCCGCTGGCCTGTATCTTGAGGTCTAATCACTATGACAAGTCAGGATACAGGGTCACAGGAAAGAGCTCCCGACGGGCATCAGATCCTCTACCCTCCAGCTCTGTGCACAGCGGGGAACTGCCGAAGATTTAATGCGCCCCGGAGCTCCCCTGCCCTGAGGGACCCCGGTTGGAGGATACATACCCTGGCTTCCCTGGCCCACCCCGAGAGGCATTTCTGAGATGTCTTGCACTAGGTCTTTCTGAGGTTCTAGGAAGGGCTGCCCACAAGGGTCACCAGCTCCTCAGCACAATATTAGCTTTCCTGTCGTCCTGGTCTCACTTCTCTCTCCTTCACACACTTCCCATGTCATCCTCCAGAAAAACGACTTGGCCCCAAGTCCTTGCCCCGGGGTTTGCTTTCATGGGCACAGCCCTGGACGATATGGAATGCCTCGTGTTTAGCCCTCTTTCTACTTAACAACTTGAAACTATTCCAACTGGGCAAATTCTGTTGATGGGAAAGTCATGCTTCCCTTATAAGCAGAAAGAAACCGCGTAGTGATATCCTACCCTTTGTGATATCATACCCTTTGGCTTTCCAGAAGGACACAGTCAGGGCCAGCCTAGGACAGCGCAAACACACGGTCAATGCCGCAATGTGAGTGCCTCTGCCCGCTTTTCCTCATGAAGCAAGCGTCCCACCTTCTGCTTTGTTCCCTGGAACCACAGACGACTCCACATTTTTTGTTTGCTTGGCTTGGCTTCCCAGGAGGCAGCAATGACACCCCCCTCGGGTGTAAGCCCAGGGCTCATAAGCAAGTCTGGAACCTGCCTGCCTCCAAAGAGTCTGTCTCTCTTCAGAGACAATCACGTCCTCCATACGGCCTCCCAGAGCCGCTTACTTCAACAGGCCTGTCACCGTGGGCATTAATATTCCCCTGAATTAACAAGGTGCCCAGCCTGCCCTGCGATTCTCATCAGCAGAGCTGGCGCTGCTCCTTCGGAAGCCAGAAACCAAAGAGCCAATACATCAGCTTTTCAGAACCTGGTTATATGGTTATTAAGATCCAAGGTTCTGATCATGCTAACATTCCTTTATTCCGCCTGACACAGTAAGATAAGAGCTGATGTGTGTCTGTAAGTTCTGAACTATTGGAAAAGGTAAACAGTGCAGGGGGGTTGGGGTGGGGGTGGGGGCATCCAGTTCAATGACTGGTCATTTCTAAAAGGAAAATAGTTCCTATTGAATATAATGAAATTGCAACTCGGAAATTCATTCGGTCACAGAGGAACACTGCCCTTGACAAAATGAGGACGAGCTGCACATTTTTACCCCAACCTTGAATGTGTAGTAACGCTGATGCCTTTCGCTTTGAAATGGCCACAGGGCGACCATCCTGTGACCAGCTCTCAAGGTACCTTTTGCAGCTGCACATAAATGCCAATCCTAAAGAAATACTCAGGCATTCGGACCTTTCCAAGCTTTAGCTTTTCCTAATTTGATGTATTAAATGGAAATAAGTAAAAAATACTTGTGCACATTTTTAAAATACCTTTCATTTAACAAGTATCTTTACTGCTGTCCACCAAACCCAGGAAAGACATTCAATCACACTTTTTTCTCTTAAAGCATACATACACATCTACCAGAAGAGGAAAATGAAACTCACTTACCTGGGGGAAAAGAACTGTAAACTAACTTAGTAGTAACAGTAGAACATGGAAATATTCTGGAAGTTAGATACTACAACCAAAGCCCCAAGGGGTGGAGCAAAAGCTCCCCAAGAAAGGTGTCAGGTTTTTATTTGAAGAAGGAAGATAGGGCAAGATGGAAAGGAGAAAGTATATAAGACGGGGAAATTCCACCTTCTCGCACTTACACTAGTTACATCAGTGGTTCTCATCAGGAGGCAACTGTATCCCCCAGGGGATGGTTGCCAATGTCTGGGATACTTTGGTTGTCAATCCTGGGGGATGCTGCAGTCACCTGTTGTCAAAGGCCAGGGAGGCTGCTGAGCATCCTACTATTCCCAGCACAGCTCCCAACCACCAAGAATTACCTGGCCCCAAAGGCCAATAGTGCCAAGATTAAGAAACCCTGAGTTACATGCCTGTCACCCTCAATAAGAAAGTTTAAGTATCTCATCACAAGGATATATTTCAAAGGGAAAAATATACCATATTTTTTCATGAATGTAACCGATAATTACTGAATACATGAATTCACCAAAAACAATAACAGCAGCAACAACCAACACGGACTGAAGGCTTCCTCCATCCACACGGGAACTCATTCAACCCCCATCCTGACTTCCTGCAACAGCTGCTGTCCTTCGCCTTAATTTGTAGAAGGGGAAACTGAGGCTCAGAACACTAGGTGATTGACCGTTGGTACGGACATGGTAAGTGGAGGAGCTAGAATCTGAAGCCAGGGGTCCTGGCTTCCAAGTATGTTCTGTTGACCATTCCGCTCTGACCACAGACAGGTCAGGAATGCACACCCTCAGGGCTGTACTCATGGGGATTACTCTAGACCAGTGGTTCTCAACCTTCCTAATGCCGCGACCCTTTAATACAGTTCCTCATGTTGTGGTGACCCCCAATTTCATTGTTACAAATTGAACATAATTAAAGCATAGTGATTAATCACAAAAACAATATGTAATTATATATGTGTTTTCCGATGGTCTTAGGCGACCTCTGTGAAAGGGTCGTTCGACCCCCAAAGGGGTCTCGACCCACAGGTTGAGAACCACTGCTCTAGACTGAGGGGGCAGGGCTCACAGAGGAGGAACAGGAAAAGGAGAGTACAGAAAACCCGATGCCAAATGTGTTATCCACATCACTGAGCGGGAAAAGAACAGCGATGAGCATGCTGCCTGTAAGCAGGCCCATCGCTCAGGAGATCCGAAAGGCGTTGCTGTAATCCTGTGACCGTGTGGCCAATGCCTGAACCCTCCGCCAGGCGGGAGGAGAGTGGGACAACAGCGGCACCAGGCAACTGACTTATAAACAAAATTTATTAGTGATTCAAATAAATTCATTGGGAAGAATGCACAGATGTGACTGACCACCACACACTTTTGGTTGAAAAAGAAAATTGCTAACAATCTACCCGAAGTTATAACTAGATCCGGGGTAGAAGCAGAAGAAGCCTTGGCCGCCATTTAACCAGAAGTAGCATCTCTCTCTGGCACGGGACAGGCAGGGCCTACACTTTGTTGAAACTGATGTTTCATTTTTGAAACTGTCACTGAGCCCAAAGCACAGTCAATGGGATTCATTTTAAGTTTGATCTTTTTTATTTCCAAGAACATTATCATCTTCGAAGCCTCGGTCTTCATCTACTGAGTTTATTCTTCTCGCGGCAGCCCCTGAAACACGCAGGTTCAGGCAAGAAGAAGCGGAATCTAAATCAAGCTGCAGATCTTATGACCCATCTAATCACAAGGACAGACTCAGACTGGAAGGCACTGCCTGGTGGCCAGTATGCAGACAGTCAAGTCATGGACAAGGAGGCAAGACTAAGAAACTGTCATGACGAGGGGGAGTGGGGACTCATGACAACTAAATGCGGGAGCTGGATGGGACCCGGGAATGGAAAGGGGACATGAGAGGAAGAACTGGTAAAATCTGAGCAAGTCTGGAGTTTGGTGAATAGTCATGTGCCAATGTCGGCCTCTCAGGAAGATGCTAACATGGGAGACGAGTGAGGGCCGTATGGGGACTCTCTGTCCTGCCTTTGTCACTTTTCCATACATCTGAAAGGATTCCAAAGTAAATGTTCATTTCTTAAAAATAAGTTGTCTAAACAGAGGGACTAGCCTGGGCTGACGGCTCAGAGAGCGTGGCTGCTGTCCTCAGGCTGTGAAGATTGGCAGGGAAGCGCCACCTTGGCGAACCCACAGCACCAAGCAGGACTGGTGAGCCCAGGACCAAAAACAAAATAAGTTAAAATACTGAAATTAAATAACGTCAAGAGCAGCATCGCATACTGACTGACTCATCCTGTGCCGGACCCTGGGCGTGTGCTCTACACACATTTTTTCTAATTTAATTCTCAAAATAACCCAATGAGGCAGTGCTAACGATGTGGGGGAAAGAACTAGACTCCTCACGTGCAAGTTAGCTGAGTAGCTCATTAAACATGCGTAGCCCAGGAGAATCTACAGAGTATTTTCCTATTTCATCCTCAGGGGCCGGGGGGGGGGGGGGGGGTGTTAGAGGGTTGACAAGATCTGATTTATGATTTTGAAATATGACTTTAGTTATACCTCTGAGAAGGAAGTCACTGTTCCCATTTCACAGATGGACACGGGGAGGCTCAGAGAAGAAAGTGCTTCCTCCAAGATGGCGGCACTGTAAAGAGCAAAGGGGGTGCCCTGCTGATCCAGAGCTACACACAGAGCTTTCCACTCTGTGACCCCTCCTAGAAAAGGCAGCCACCACACACCACACCACTATGGGCTCCAACTACCAGCAAGCAGGGATCTAGGATGGCAACGGGCCGACCTGCCACCCCTGCACCCACCTCCAATAGGACAGACTTGCTGCTCAGAGCCAAGACCAGAGAAGTGAGCGAGGAGGGGTGTCCTACCGGGTGAGCAGTGCCGTGACCTCCCGCCCCACCCTGAAGGTGGCTGCCTTTGTTCTGTTGGTTTCACTCAGATGATGACAGCCATATAGCTCACAGAAGCTGTTCTCTGTTGCACCCATTAGTCCTTGTTCCCACGGGACTGGTTCATCCCTCCAGCACATACGCGCAGGACCAGCGGAGACGTACCTGCTAGCATCAGGGCTCGGATGCACTCCGTTCGGCCCTGCATGGCCGCTTTCATCAGGGCCGTGAACCCAAACACGTTCCTCCTTTCAAGGTCAAGGCCAGGGAAGTAGTTCAACAAGTAGTTGGTGATGGTGGCATGCCCTGCAAAGAGATGGGCACAGGTGAAGAGACCGCACGCCATGGAGACCCCTTATTCCAGGGAGGTCTTCCTAGAGAGAGGAACGGCACCTGGCCCACCTCCCGGGCCAGCCCGTCTGCAGGGTGTGGGTTTGCCCCTCAGACAGCAAGAAAGAATTCACAGGGACACGTGGCTGTCTCTGCTGCTTTACTCTTGTTCCCTTCGCCGATCCATTGGGAGCTCAGCTGTCCTGTCACATGTTAAGGAGAAACGTGAGTAGCCAGGATGCTGCAGAGTGGCGAGCAGAAGCGCTGAGCTGCCTCAGCAGACCCTGTCGGCTCCCAGCAGGAGACACCCGTGCCCAGATGCAAACCCAAACGTGCATCTCAGAGCCACCTCCCAGGGCTCCCAGGCTTCAGGGAGGAGAAAGCCGTCTTCGCAGCAGGAGGATACGCCAGCGCACACTGCCACCCTCTGTTACTGCTCAAAAGTGTCGGTCCCTGTCTTTCATACACACAAGCACACGAACACACACACACACACACACACACACACGCAGGGAACACAGCCAGTGTTGCTACCAGGATCCTCAGCCAGAAACCCAAGCAGGTAAGAATACTCATTTGAGAATACAGAGTTCTCGCCTTTATTGTCTTGCACTTCCAAGAGACCTGATTTTCTGCTCACTCTTACCCTCTTAAGTAGAAGTGGAAAAGGAAAACGTGATGTAAAAAGCAGTATTCCCAGGGGTCTCCAGGTCCCCCCCCGCCCCCACCAGAAAACCAAAATGGAGTGGGAGCTTTCCTCAAACAGGGCTCCCTGAGCCACAAAGACAGGCTCTTGGGTCAAAGGGCCAAGCAGCCCGATGCCCACTGGCCATCATTCTTAAGCCCTTGTGTGAAAGGACACACCACCCTCCCCTACTCCAGTGCCCTGGAGCAGGGTCCCAGCCCTGGCACTAGTGATACCTGGGGCCGGGTTATTCTCAGGGTAGGGCTGCCCAGTGTACTGTACACCCCTGGTCTCCAACCTCTGGTTGCTGGTAGCAATCACACCCCTCCTCCCACCCTGGCTGTGACAACCCAAAATGTGTCTAGACCAGTGGTTCTCAACCTTCCTAATGCCTCGACCCTTTAATATAGTTCCTCATGTTGTGGTGACCCCCAACCATAAAATTATTTTCATTGCTACTTCATAACTGTAATTTTGCTACTGTTATGAATCGTAATGTAAATATCTGATATGCAGGATGTATTTTCATTGTTACAAATTGAACGTAATTAAAGCATAGTGATTAATCACAAAAACAATATGTAATTATATATGTGTTTTTCCGATGGTCTTAGGTGACCCCTGTGAAAGGGTCGTTCAACCCCCCAAAGGGGTCGCGACCCACAGGTTGAGAACCGCTGGTCTAGACATTGCCAAATGCCCCTGGTGGGGCAAAATCACCCCACGAAGAAGCACTGTCCTCGAGGGTCAAACCTCATTGTTTCAGGACTGACCCCACCAAGGTGGAATAGAGCTTCCTCTGCTCTTCACCTTCCCTCGGCCTCCGACCCGCAGGACCACCTCCCAGCTGCATCTCCATCCGGGACCCACGGATGATGGCTAGCCATCCCTGGGGAGTGGGAGCAGACTGCGGAAGCCCTCTCCTGGGCCAGCCGGCTGTGCTGGGTGCCCAGTCCACATCCTTATACACGGAAGATCCAGCTCTCTGAAATGCCCCATCCCTCCCTACCATGTGCATGGGCCTTTGGAACTGACACTGTAGAGTTGCAGGTGTGGGGCCTCGTGGGCATGGCAGTCACTCTCTGTCCTTCACTGGGCACCACCCCTGCCCCCAGGAGGTCTCTGCACCACGGAGAAGCCAGGACCATGAGGCTCCTTCCAGCTGATTTCGGGAAGGGCGCTGGGTGAGATTTGGGATGTGGCAGGAGGAGAGGCCTCCTCCTGAGGATGGGCAGCCTGGAGACAGGGATGCTTCCCTGGGGCTCACCTGACTGCCCGGCAGGTGGCAAGGCTATGAGCACAGAGCGTCACCCAACATCATCTCTGGCCACAGCAGCAAGGAGTTGCCGCCCTCCAATCCCCCCAGGCAGAGACTGGGATCCAGGTTCCTTCCTTGCAGGGCTGCTGCCCAAGCAGTATCAAATCCTTCTCATCAATTTCCAAGTTATAAACAAACAAGCAATCAAAGTGAGACTGCGGACTCTTCTAGAAGCACTGTTGTCTGCCCGCCATTGACCTCAGCCCATCTCCTGAACTCACTGCAAAAGTTAAAAAGAGAAACATGTCGCCTTTCTGGGAGAGAAACACTGACTAATATGACCGTGTTGTGGGTTAACCAGCCAGAAATGGGTGGGGGCCACCCTCCGGCTCTGTGACTCACAGGTTCCCACCGCATCTGATGCCTTCTGACTCATTTCAGCCAACTGGCCCTTCACAGTGCCAGTGGCAGGGTAACGCTAGCAGGCAGGTGCCCACAGC